ATCAAATATCCATGATTCATGGAGTTGAATCCTTCATTATTGGTATAAATGATGTCCAGAGATTATTCTTAAAATTGGAATCTAGACCCACTTTAATCCTGATAGAAAAACAAGCATTTCCTTTGAGACTACCTTTCAGATTTTATCTTCATTTCTATCACAATAGCTATCACTTGGCCTAATGAAGAATCCCCCTCCTGCCTACTCTATCTCCAAGGCCCTCTGATGCCTGATGCAATCATGAAATAGAACAAGAGGCATTTGGCTGATGGTACCTTTCGCTAAAGATAGTCAAAAAGTCAGAGAGCATTGATTTTAAAAGTAACAATCATATAACTGAACTCTCTAGGCATGCTTTGTTTATGAAATAATCATTATTAGACATGACTGTCAAAATAACTCTGATCACCTGATGACGGTTAGAAATCCATTTTGGCCAATTTTACACCCAGAAATTTGCTCTGGGCCTGAAAATTCCCTCTGCTTGGCAACCATCAGTCAGGCATATCACTTAATTATTTCTCAATTTTCTTTTAAAATTTCTCCTACAGGCAATTGTTATTGTTGCACTTCTCCCATTTCATTCAAGACAGACTTCAATAGAGACTTTGATAAATTGTACCATTGATATGCTGGCATTTATTGTCACGTATCAATTTAGTGCAGGTAAAATGTTGTATGTAGTTGGGGCTATGCATTTGAGGAGAGGGATATCATTTTCTCTATTATTTTCATTTTTGCAGTATAGCTGTCTATTATGCACATCAGCAAACTGTCTAAAACTTAAAAGCTTAGGGAGTGGCCTAGGGCCAATGATTTATCTAAAACCTCACAGCTAATACATGTAAGAAGCAAGACTTGAACCCAGGTCTTCCTGACTCCAAGGCTATCCTTATATCCATCATGCCATATGTCTGACTCATGTATCTGACTATATTAAGTTATTATTCTTTACAGATTTCATGATACTTGATGAAGCTCATTACCCTTCTTGAAAGTGAATAAAAGGTAAAGACAATCTCTGAAAAAATAATTCACCTTTCAAAAGGCCTTTTACTTAACCTCTCATGAGAGCTCTTGACCTGTGGCCTTCCACAGTTGTGAGCCAATGGGACACCAAGAAAACATGTGTCCTTTAGTATAGTGAGCTTGCCTGTTATTATGCTCATGGCATTGGCTGTCTAAAGCACCAAGGACTGCAGGAAAAGAGGCATTTGGGAAGTCTGTGTGCCACGAGCATTTTATTGCTTCCGAAATTCTGCTTGTTTGAGCACTTTGGTAGAATGTACTTTCGATGCTGATGGCAGATGAAGAGAAACATAAGCCTCTGTTTTCAAAAGAAATAGATTTCTTAAAAAGAGAGATTATTTGGCTCACAGTGGTATGTTTACATGATAGCGCCATTCAAGTCACACACATTCTAAGAAGCAAAGGATGAAAATAAACCTTAACCCTCCTATCAACTGTGGTAGGAAATAAAGAAAGAACCACTGGTTGCTTTGCAAAAAGTATACAAGGTAGCTATTATCAAGAACTATTACCTAACCTTCATGAAATGGCAAAGAAAACATAAAACATATACACACACACATACATATATACACACACAGACATATATAGGCATACATATATGTGTGTGTATATATATACATGTGTGTATACATGTGATACACACACACACACACACACACACACACACAGTGGCTCACCAGTGTGCAGAGTAAGGCCCAGGAGGATCCTGCCACTGCCAAACTGTCAGCAGGAAAATACTTGTTAACTATTTCTGAAGCATCACCAGCTGAAGGCAGAAATAGCTTCTGTTAATTGTCTTATTTATCATAGATCAAATACCAGCAAGACATTTAATAGTGTGCCTGATGGGCAGGTTTGCTGGAAAAAAAATGCTTTAGTTGTTTGTGTGTGTGTGTGTGTGTGTGTGTGTGTGTGTGTATGCATGCGCATGTGTGAGCACACACATGTGTTTAAGGAAAGCTGTTGTTTGAAATGACAAAGCATGACTTTACATATATCTTTATGCCAGCACTTTATACTTCAGATCTATTTTTTCCCCTTAAGTTCTGATGTAACAGAAGACACCAAATTTTAAAGAGATCTTTTTAACCGTCATTCTGAAGTTGCTGCCCAAGTCTTTTGTGGCAGCCTTTGTTTCTGATGCTTTTTTTAACCAAGACTTGACGAATGCACAGGTCGTAGATTTAGAACTAGAAGTAACTGTAGAGGCCACCGAATCTACCCCTCATTGGACAGATGAGGAAACTGAGACTTAGAGAGATTAGATACCCAGTCACACAGCTATCAAGTGTCAGAGGAGGGATTTGAATCCATGTCTTCCTGACTTCAAATCCAGCACTTTTTAAACTATGCCACACAACCTCCAGATCATGGGCTACAGAAGAATCACATAGATTAACCTCAAAGGTGAGGAACAGGAGAGGAAGTGTGAGAACACAGGAAACTACTGTTTGAGGACCTTTCAATGCCATCAAAATCTAAATTATGCCCAAAGTATACCAATGGTATTATTACTATATAGTCAAAGTTTTCTATGTCAGTTATTTTCATTTTAATGATAACAGTTTAAACTGTGACTTAACAGAGAGAAAAATTCAGAAATTTTAGAGAACCACAGAATTACAAAATTTTAGAGTTGGAAGTAACCAAAGACAAATAATAACAACAATAACAATAATAATGATAACAAACTACCTGGCTAACTAACAATCATTCTCTGCTTGCAGACCTCAAATGAGGGAGGACATTGAGGCAGCCCTAAAAGCTATAATTGTTAGGAAGGTTTTCCCCCCAAAATCAAGCCAAAATTAGTCTCTTTGGAATTCCCACCCTTTGTTCCTGGTTCTGTTCTCTGGGATCACATAGAGCAAGGCTAATCTATCTTCTATGTGACAGCCCTTTTTACCAGGCTAAGTATCCCTGGCTCCATCATCTCCATATGTCATGGCCTGGAGGCACTTCACCATTCTGGTCACCCCTTCTGAATGCTTTGCACTTTAACCTTTGTAAAACATGTTGCCACTGAGTATGTGGCATACACCTATAATCCTTGCTATTGATGAGGCTAAGACCTCATAGAATATCTGAGTTTGGGAGTTATGAGCTGCAGTATGGCTACAGTTGATCAGATATCCATACTAAGTCTGGCACCAAGATGGTGAGCCTGTGGGAACGAAGGTCTACCAGACTTCCTACAGAGAGAAGAATCAGCCCAGGTCAGAAATGGAATGGATCAAAGTTCCTATGACAATCAACAGTATTTGGCCCATGAGGGGCCACTGTATTTCTAGCCTGGGAAAGGTGGGAGACAAGGGAAGGGGAAGGGGAAGGAGAAAGAGAAGGGGAAGGAGAAGGGGAAGGGCAAGGGCAAGGGGAAGAGGGGAAGGGGAAGGGGAAGGGGAAGGGGAAGGGGAAGGGGAAAGGGAGGGAAGATGTGTCAGACAGCAGAAGAAAATAGCAGGACTATTATCTCCTCATGCATTGAAATTCTGCCTTTCTTAATACAAGACCAATTCCAAATGGATAGTCTATTTTTAATATACACCATAATATCTAGGAATGACAGAAATCCCAAGATGAGCATTCAGTGCTACACTGGTCATGCAGTATGTGCTATTTGTCACACTTAAAAGCAATGGAGATAAAATAGATGCCAAAGTGGAGTAATATATTATCTTTGCATCTTTCTTAAAGCTTAGATGCCAAATCCTTCAGCTTCATATTTTGAACGTATAATGTATCAGTCTTACATAGTCTAGAATTTACATCATAGTAAGAGTGAAAGTAGAGTATTCCATATGGTAGCAAAGTATTCTTTTAAATTACTACAGGTTGTCCATTTTAGGAGGATCTAATTATTTAAAATCCTGAGATTCTATCAGAAACTGGATACAACATTAAGGCGAACAGAGGTGAAGATTTTTCAGTTAATGAACCTCTCTAATAAGGTGGAAAGCATCCAGAAATGGACAACCAAAATGTTAAAAGGCCTCCATTATACAAATATGAGGATTGGTTGATAGTACTTCATAAATTTGGTTGTGATTAAGAAAGTAATTCTTACAACAGTGGGAGAGGGGGGAAAACAGTAACCAATGTATGATAATAAGAATAAGTCACTTACATACTGAGAAGCCTACATTCAGGTTTTCTATACTGCCACTGTTAATGCTTGAGATTGTTTGGGTTAACTTACTGTTAGTATGCTTATAAATACACCAATCATTTTGTTTCCAAATGTCGACTATGGCTGGGATTATCAACTAATTGTGTTCCTCAGTTTAGGTGTGACCAGAGATCCTGGTTTGTGAATAGTTGTTGACTCAGTGGCAACGGAGATCAGAAAATATCACAACCAGGATGTTCCCTCATTTCTCAGGAAGTACGTATTGCATGTTCTCTGCTACCCATACTAAGGAAGTCCTTATTAGCAAGCTTCAAATTTCATTACAGAAAACATGACTCAAATCAAAGCCTATGTTGGAGAATATGTTTTTCTAAATATTGACACTTCCTGAATACCTCATATTCCAGGTCTAATCACTACTTTCTAGTGCTATATAGTCAGTATATTCTTTAAGAACTAGCCTCAGCTTGCAAGAAGGAACTATTAATCTGTGCAGTGGAGAATGTGTTGAAGAAATACGGTTGAGAGAGTGATAAACTATTATTGTTCGGAAAATGACTAATGTTCGAGGTACATTACTCAGCTGCTGCAGGCAGTGTACAAAAACTTGCAAAGTATTTTCCTTAGGTTGGTTACCTGCAATCACATATCTTTCATCAAACTTGATTGATCTGTAAGGGCTTCTGACAATGTAGTTAGGGTTAACTGTCCTTTGCTTTCTGATAAAAAGAAAATTATTTTTATTTTCACCACAAGTTCTTTATGGATTCATCAGGAAACATGACCAGAGGGATTAAAAAAAAAAAGCAAAAGAGACACGGTCACGGACAAGTTAACTTACAGGAAGAGTGGATGCTGGGAAAGCTCTTTCGGCCCTCAGACACCAGATCAGGGTCACCTGTGCAGTGCATTTCAGAGTTCATTACTCCATCTGGAAAGCAGCGGTAAAAGAAATCGGGACGAGGTCTACAAAAAACACCACGGATATTTTAAATATGAAAAACTGCCATTGTAAATATGCCTCCTACCCACACCTCTGCCATCCTCCCTTTCCCCTCCCCTCCCACCTCAAAAATCTGGTGCTTAAATCCCCTATGTCAGTAAAAAACTGAGGTTTCTTTTGTATCACTATGGATTTGGATTATTCTTGCTATGAAGTTCTTTAGTTAAGCTGCTGTTCTCCACATCCAAATGCTGGAGGAGGTTGACAATGTGTTGTATTAACGATAGCTAAGCTCCTCACAACCCCATGGAGTCCTAGATCTCACATCTTACTTAACTTCATGTACTTCCTCAGGATACTAGATCTCATTCAACCTGACTGAGAGAATCCTGAGTGTCCTAGAAATAGTGTCTTCTGTTCTGGCTTGCAGACTGATGGTGAAATTCTCCAGTTATCCAATTCAAAGATCCTCCCCCTCTTAATGGGCTTTGTAGATGGGTTTTACTATTTGTGACATTTCTAAATGAAAAATTTAAGCAAATAAAAAATCCATTTAAAGTTTAGATAGCAAACTGTAATGAATGCAATGGAAAACTCCAATCACCTATCAATCCCAACCAGCATCCATGCACATGGAGGGCTGAAATAAACAAACAAGTTGGTATCTAGTGAAAGCCAATGGTAGGCCCTTGCCTGACCAAAGAGAGGACCTCAGCTTACAGGAGACTTATAAGGGTGTAAAAAGATTTACCTGCATAGCTACCCTATGAAATAAAACAGAAGGAAGTGTTGAATATTTTATTCAAAATATACTACAAAGGGATTTGCCCCAAGTGTCTGGGAAGGATTTTCTTAGACTAAGCAACCTTCATGCCTCAGTGGGAAACTACAGATTGTTACGCCTCTTCAAAATTGAAGGGAATCTGAGGATGGACAGCAAAGAGGCTTACTGAATAAATGATTGTTGAGTTGAATTGCCAAGGTTTGGGCCCCAAATGGCCTCTTCTTTAGGTTAAACAGAAAACCTACAGGCCTTTTCCCACCCAAAGCATTCTGATCAAAAATTAAGCTGCAATGTTATTATACAAGTTTGCCCTATATTTCTTCAATATTTAAAACCACCATTTTCAACATTTCAGGACTTACCTTCCAACTATTAATTTAATAGTATTTGTGCAGACTCCATTCAGAGCTAGAGCCAAGGAAACCGCTATAAAACAAAACCAAACAGACAGAAAAATAACAACCTGGCTAAGAATGAGCAAAAAAAAAAATTTAACTGTTAGTTCACTATTATTTAATTGATGGCCTTAGAACCGTGAGTCAAATTACTTCCCCCAGGGATAGGAAAAGAAGAAGAAAACCCCCTGATTTTAAAATTATTATTATTATTATATTATTATTATTATTATTATTATTATTATTATTATTATTATTATTATTATTATTTTGGTAAGTAAAGGAAAAAAGTTCAGGGCATATTAAGAGGAATGGAGGATTCTCTCTTTTAGAAGATTCAGCTAATGGAAATGAAATGTAATTAGGACCAAATACTGGTATGTATCTCAACAAATTCCCTGTCCTTTCAGTTCAAAATTTCCTATTCTCACTCATCTAGAATCCTCAAATTCATAACCCATCTATCATAGCTTGTCTTGATTAAAACTGACTGACTGATGCAGATCCGTGGTTCTTTTTATTGGTAGCAAGATATAGTCCTTGTATTTCTGGCAACCTTCTCAGGCATAATTCCAAACTAGGCCAAGCAGTAGCTGCAATACTACTTCAGAATACATGACTGATCCCTTGCTACTATCCCCTTGCTGACCATTTCATCACACTCCATCATCACCACTGCCACCACCATTTGTCCATCTGTTACCAACCCATCTCTCTTCCTCTGCAAAGAAAAACAATCCAGAAGACTGGTTATAGATGTCAAAATATTTTGCCTGTGTGATTCCTTTTTTACCTAAAACAAAAGGAATTTCTGGAATATTTTATTCAAACATATTGCAAAGGGATTTTCCTCAAGTGACTCAGAAGGATTTCATTAGACTAACAATATATATCCCAAAGGATGCTACAGGCACGATTGAGAGAACTTTCCCCTTCAGTGGCAACTCAGAACAATACCTTTCATGCCCTTTCCATTATTTTAGAGGGATTGTACAAAAGGTGCAGTTATTAAGACTAATTTTATTAAAGATCGAATGCCTTTGATAAGTAATAAAACCCATGTACCTCATTTTCCATTTATATGTTGAATAATAAAATTGTGAGCCATCATTTTCCTAAGGCAAGTATTAATTCTTAAAGACTCTCTGAAGTTTGTTCAATGAGAATATGGTGCAATCCACTGTGAGATGGAGCTTAGCTTGTAGGGTGAGGAAAGGAGGTTGAAGCACACTTTAGAAAGACATAAAATTAGTCTGCTATGGGGGTGGGGTGTCACTTAATGGATGGCATGCTCTTTAAGTTGAGAAGTATAGAGGTAAGAAAGACAATTAAACTTGATCAACAAAGCCAAGACTAGTAAATTAAAGTCAACAGACTGAAACCTTGGGAGGGACAAATTAAACTAGTATATTCACCAAAGGAAAATAATCAGTCCAAGGATCAGATGGTAACTGGCTGCCTGTGAGTGTGGCAGAGAGGGACGTAGAGGCTGCCTGGGCTCAGGAGTGAAACATGAGTCAGCACTGTAGTGATGCTGTCAAAAAAACTGAGCAGGCAACTGGGATGTATAAATAGGATTTGTGTAGGAACTCAGAGTCAATTTTTTTTTTATTATTACATTCAGCACTACTCAGACTCCTACTAAACAGAAGACCTCTTCTCTCTTCGCTATGCTAAAAGCACAACTGAAGAGGTTATGGAGCCATGAGACAGAATTCATTGCATCCGTTGCCTCTAATTTTATCCCCTATAATCAGAATATCTGTATGACATTTACAGTTGCTCTCCTACTACAAATTCCTGAGGTCACCTTGAATAACTGACCTTTTCCTGTCAAGAAAACCGTTGTGCTTTCCTACCTAGTCTGTGACTCTGGCACTTACCTAGCACCACCAGTTTCATGGGTGCAGGATAGTATGGCATGAAATAAATCTTGAGGAGCATCGTGGATGTCCACAGTGAGCCTATTCACTGCACACGTCCTCTAATATCATAGGTTTGGGTGGCCTTTTCTTGCAAATGGCACTTCTTGTGAACAGTTATTAGCTGCCCTTTTCTGGACAGTTTAGTAGGATTCACCAACCATGAAGTCCACCAAAATCAGTCCCAAATTCTTTCCTTTGACAGGTGACAGTGGAACACTGGAGTAGAGATGCCTACTGGTGGTAGGTGGCTCTCTAGAAGCCAACTTTCTGTCCTAGAAAGCAATTAATATTTTTCTCTGTGTATATAATCTAGGTTGGATTGAAATAGAAGCCTCTTATTGATTTTGAAGAAATGATCATGCTAGGATTAGTCCCCCAAAGAGGGGATAAATCAGGAAAATTTCCTACTAGATTTTACTTTGTTCTTATAAGTTAACAATGATTTAGTTTAGAAAAAACTAACCTTTAAGCCCTTAAAGCAATACCAGTTAGAAGAAAGGAAGTGACTCATGAAACAAATTCAAAATCAACATGAAAAGATTTATATGGTCAGTCTATCCTTTGGGTTTGGCCAACAGTCACCTATGAGAGGGTTACTTACATTGTTGGAAAGTTAGTGCAGCACTTATAACATATCAAATTGCTTACCATCTTAGGAAGAGGGATGGAAAGGGAAGGAGGGAGAAAATTTGGAACTCAAAATTTTATTTAAAAAATGGATGTTAAGATTATATCTACATGCAATTGGAAAAATAAAATGCTATCAAAATTATTTACATCATAAGAAGTTAGTGTGGGACCTTTATTTTAATACTGCTTCATCATTTATACTGATTAGACAAACTATAGGCTAAATCTTAATCCTTGAAACTCAGCTCCATTCAGTAACAGCTCAATATTACATGGTGATCCTACAAGGCAGATATAAGCTCTGTTCCAAAGATGTGTGGGCTAGAACAAAGTCTACTGAATCGAGAAAAGGCTTATTAAATGAAGTTACTCTTATTCAGAGAATCTTTAAAGTTAAAATTAAAAATTTAATCAGAAAACCCAATGTATAGAACCATGTGAGCCTCTTTAGGGAGATTGTAATATATTTGTTTGCTTTATACATGTAAATATCTGCATGTATAGCTTTCTCTTAGTCATCTTAAAAATGAAGACAGTCAAAAAATGAAGAGATAAGAACCAGGCGTAGAACAAAGTTCTCAATCATTTTTATAGAACAAGTTTCTATTTAGTCAGGAAAACAGAATATGAAATAAAACAGCTGACTGCTTTAACATATAGGAAATAAAGTATATAATGTTCAATTCTGAAATGTCAGGCCAAGGGAGATTTAGTTGAGAGTGAAAAGGTCTAGGGAAAGTAACTGTGTGGTACTTACTGCCTTATGAATACCCCAGCTCCAAAAGGAGGTAATGAATTTCAAGCATAATCATAGAAGGCAAAAAGAAAGAAAATCTTTTAAAATAATAGTGTGTCTTTGGATTCTGGAGCCCAGGGAAGAATGTGTTGCTGGTGGAGGAAGGGTTGGATTTGCTAAAGGAGGAACTAAGCAGTATATGTCTGAAGCCCCAGTTAAGTCCAAGTCATGACATCCCACACAGACATTTTCTGGTTATCCAGAAAATTCCATATCCAAGAAGTGATATAACCAACTCCATGCCTGAACACTGCCATCCACCCTGTGGTTATGACCCATTTATCAAACAACAATAGAGACATAGTAGGGAGCTTGTCATGGAAATCATAATTAAACCCAAATGCTAAAATGAGGTAAATATTCTCTTGTAACTGTTATCCTTTTATACACATATCATTACAAAACATGATTTGGGGATGAATTAGAATTAATTACTGAACAATGGATCAGTTTCCAAATGGTAAATTCAATTCAGTTGCCTTGACTGATGAAAATAACTAGAACACTGTAGACACAAAATGGGTTTATTTTGGTAATTTAAAGAAAAAATTGGTTTGATTATTTCCAAATTCAGTCAAATGCTCAGAAGTCCACTAGTAATACCAAAAATGAGGGATGTGATGCAAAAATAGTCAAACTGCTTGTCTGGTCAGAGCCTAAGGTAAATAAGCAGATAAAATATAGTTCCTTACAAATAGTAGATATTTAATAAATGTTTATGGATTAAACGTATTCATGAAGAATACATGAGACTTAAGTTTTTAAAACTTTTCCTTAGCAAATAAAGATAACCCTCTAAAAACTGTAAGCATTTTTGAGAGAAGGAGGGGTAAGGAAGAAGGCAAGGTGTGGAAGAGGTTAGGAGGTATTAGATTTATTTGTTGTTGTTGTTTTTTAACCTTCTTAATCAACTATTTTATCTTCCAGATAATGGGTATTTAGTCTATGGTTGGCTTCTACTTTCTTCAGAATGGATACTATTAGCCATATCAGTGGAGAGGACAGACAATGGACATGCTTCAATAACAAAGCTACCCAATAACATTTTCCTTGTTGCAAAAGGTTATTTTTGTCCAAAAAATATGATAATTCACTACTTGCACATTAACAGATTTGGTTCGCATATGTTTGGTGTAATGAAGAGTATTAATAAATGGGGGCAGAAAATATTCAAAGTTACCTAGTGGCCACTCATTAGACAGAGAAAATAGGCATCTTGTTAATCGGATACTTTATTGGACCAGGAGAAAACTCAGTTCTGGTGTGGTGTGTGTGTGTGTGTGTGTGTGTGTGTGTGTGTTGAGATTCTTTATACCTAATAATGATTTAGTTAAGTTCTGTTTTTTCATTCAAAGTACATACAGCTCATACTTTACCTAAAAAGGCCTCTTTAATTTCAGTCTTGTCAGTTCGCCGGATGATTTTCACCACAAAAATGACTGCCAGGGGTGTGAGAAAAGAGATTGCCTGCAAGAAATCACAAATAATCACTCAGATGAGCATCAGGTTACTGTGAAAAAAGCTGATTTGCCATCAGTTCCAGCTAACTTTATTAGACTGACCAGTTGAATTATCGTTATTGAACTAGTGACCTCAAGCAAAGTAGGATGATTTATAGCCATACATAAAGCACTGTTGTACAGACTTAAAAAGTTGTAGGCCTAATTGCGGGTTATAATTGATTTGTAATTGCTGGAAGCCACATTTAATGTGGTAGCTTTTAAAATCAAAATGAATAATCCATAATTATGATGACTCATCTTTGCCAGGAACTTCACCTGTAATTTCCATTGTCAAAGAAATTAAGGTGCTTCAACTGTAACTATCTTCTCCCTGTATATCTCTGTTTCTGTCTCTTTCTCTGTCTCTGTGTCTCTTTCTCTATTCTCTCTGCTCTCCCCCGCCCCTCTTGATTTCTGGACATTTTATGTCATTTTGTTTTTGTTCAGTTGCTTTCAGATGTATCTGACTCTTCATGACCCCATCTGGAATTTTCTTGGCAAAGATACTGGAGTGGTTTGCTATTGCCTTCTCCAGCTCATTTTTACAGATGAGGAAACTGAGGCAAACAGGGTTAAGTGACTTGCCCAAGGTCACACAGCTAGTGTCTGGAGGCCATGTTTGAACTATTTGAACTCGGATCTTCCTGAATCCAGGCCTAGTGCTCTATGCACTGCACCACCTTAGCAATGGATTTTATGTCATAGTCATAATCATTTAGTTCATTTCTCTCTCTCCCTTTTTTAGTATTTTAGGGCTAGGATTGTCTCTTTTACTTTAGAATTGAGCCCGTCCCCTTGCCTGGCTTCTCTCCCTCCTCCCATATGATTATGTACACAAAAGACTGGATAGAAGTATTGACCCTGAAAAGTCTTATTTTGTCTAAGGGTCATTAAGGAAACAGAGAGATACAACATTTGGACTTGAATATTTAGAAGGAAACATACTATAGGTGGAGAGAAAGGGAAGATTTCTTTTTTTAATTTTTAAATAATTGGAAGAGTTAAAGGTAAAGATCATTTTTAAAAAGCATATGGGGTAGGGAGGTGGGCAAAGAAAGGTAAAGAGAGAGAGAGAGAGAAGAGAGAGAGAGAGAGAGAAAGAGAGAGAGAGAGAGAGAGAGAGATAATAACGGGATAAATAGAATAAAGTAGGCAAGGGATTGGGAGGAAGAAGAAAAGGAGTATCTGAGTCAGGAGACAGATTTGGGGAAGAGATTACCTGAAGCAAAAGAAACTACAGCTAGAGGACTGATTTATTAAGGAAAATAGGGGGCTGGGACAAAACCCAGAAAGAAAACTGAGATTGTACTGCTTCATGTGATAGAAATTCCAGACAGCTATTGCTGACTTTCTAAAGATTTGTTTTTTAAAAGAAATGTCATAGCAGGATTTTATAAAAGTAAAAACAATAATCATAACCATGAAAATTAATAGAATGAACTCATCCATAATTCAGCAAAGAGCGGCAGAACAAATTAGAAAGCAAAACCCAACCATTTTCTGTATACAGTATGTGAAATGTACTAAAAGATTCACACAGAATTAAAAGAGGGGTTGAAGTAGAGTTTATTGTGCATCAATTGAACCAAAAAAGCAGAAAACGCAATCACAATCTCTGATAAAATTACAGTAAAAATAGAAATGATGAATATAGATTAACAGGAAGCTACATATGCTTCAGATATCACAGATAATTAAACCATATCATCAATATTAAATATATATATATATATATATACACTGCATGGCATAGCATCAGAATATGCAAACAAAAAATTTAATGAATTGCAAAAGAAGATATATAGTAAGATAATAGATGACTTCAACATGACTATTAAATTTTAGAGAAATCTAACAGAAAGAAAAATCAGAAAGGCCAAAATTATGTCAGCTACTCTATTTTGCCTCTCATTATGATCATGTTGGATTTCTCCCAAGAATGAAAGGTATAAACATAATTAATTATGATAAAAGGAAAAACAATAAGATTACATCAGTAGATACAGAAAAAACTTTCATAAAATATGGTTTGTATTTATGATTTTAACAAAACTAATGCAAGCACAGAAATAAAAGGAAATTTCAACATAGTTACAAAAGTATCTATCTAAAACGAAGAACTAGCATTGTTTAGAATGGAGAAACATTGCAAGCATTTTCAATCAGTCTAGGGATACAATAAGGATAAAGATGGCCACTATATTCAAAATGGCGCTGAAATGCTAGCCATAGTAGTAAATCAAGCAAAATAAATTAATGCTCCAAGTATAAGTGAAGAGTGATCAATGCTATATTGGCAGAAGAGATAATGTTCTGCTTGGAGAACCCTAGAGAATTACGAAAAATTCCGTGAGGCAATTAATAGCTTTTATAAAGTACCAGGATGCAAAAAACATCCCTGATATTTTTTTTCCTGTATGTTCTAACAAAACCACGAAAAATAAGTAGAGAGAGAAATGTCATTTAAGGTCACAACAAAATATATTAAATTTTTGAAAATTAACCTATTAGTACCCACAGAGAATTTGTATGAATACAACTAAAATAATTTTTACAGAAATCAATCAAAGCTTACATAATTAGAGAATATTTAATATTCATGTCTAGGTTTCACCAATATGATAAAAAGGACCATATTACCCAAATTATTTTATCGAATAAGGGCTATGCTAATCTGAAGGAATAAGAGGTCAATAATATCAAGGGCTATAATTAAAAATGATAGAAAGAGGGGTCAATACTACCAAACCTCAAACAAAAGCAGTAATTATCAGAATTAGCTGGTACTAGGAAAAAAAATCAGTGAACAGATCAAACAAGCAAGACTTAGAAATAAACATCCACAGTAATATTGTGTTTAATGCGCCCAAGAATACAAAACATGTAGAAAAGGCTTTTATTTTAGAAATAATTCTGGGAAAACTGGGAAGAAATTTGGTAAAAGATAGGTTTTAGGTCAGCATCTTACAACTTATACTATAATAAATTTCAAACAGATAAACCATCTACTATACATTTTAAAAGGCACACCACAGAACAATTAAAGGAGAAAGGAAAGTTAGGTATCTCACAATTAAGTAAGGCAGGGCAATATTATTAGATAACACTGAGAAACAAAAATAATTCTGATCAAATACAATGAATAATATTATTACCAGGCCATCAAAGTTAAAGGGTCCATCCTTCCTTTCTGTTAATCTTCAAATAAACTTTGAGGAATGTACTTTGTATGAGGCATTTGTTGGGTTAGTTTTGCTATTTGTTGTTCTCTGATATGTCAAACAAAATGTATCAATAAACAAAACAATGCAAAGAAAGATTTATTACAAATTCATCCTTATTATTTGACCCACATTCTGGAGCAGGGTCTAAGCAGAACCACACTATATAAGGCACATCTTGTGGTAGGAGAGAAAGCGGACAGGAAACAGAAAGTAATAATAACAACAGCAATGATAATAATAGCAACAATACCTAGCATCTATATAGTACTTTTAAGGTTTGCAAAGAGCTTTACAAACATGATCTCTCTTGATCCTCACAACAACCCTGGGAAGTAGGTGCTATTATTATATCTCCACTTTGCAGATGAGGAAATTGAAGCTTTGAGAGACTGAGTCACTTGCCCAGGGTCACACAACTAGTGTGTGTCTAATGCTGTATTTGAAGGTCTTCTTGATGCCACGTCCAGCACTCTATTCAATGCACCGACTGGCTTTCACATCAAAATTTTCCTCATTTCCCCCATCCTTCCTAATGGGTCAGTGCATCGGGGAAATGCATGAAAGGCTCACAAGAAGCAAACATGTAGTGTCAGTTGTGTCTATATCTTTTATTTCTGAATATCCATCTAGATCAGTGCTATTTTCATTCTCAACCCAAATCAACAGAGTTGTGGCCAATTTTACGACTATCCTTTCCTTAAATGCCCAACTTAACCACAGAATTCAAAGTTTTTCCAATGAAAGAATGAAGTTCAGGAGGAAAACCGTTCTGGCTCTAAAGCCAACACTCTCTCTATGAAAACATTCTCAATTATCCTTTGTAGTTTAGACACAGCAACACATTTACTTGAGAAATAGCTTCATTTGTTCTTTCTATCCCATGGTTGTTCAAGCTATCTTACAACTTCATGGGAGCACCTAAGAGGAATATATTTTACCAAGTGCAACATCTTCTTACCTCAAAAACTTCTAGCTCGCCTATTTCCCTGCAATATTGATGTTTCAATGTAGAAATTATGGGAATTGAGTGAACCACACTGACTCTATCAATTCTTGATCTAGCTTAATTCCTTCTCTATTCAATTGTGTGTCTGATGCAATTTCTGTATTATGAGAAAACTTTATTCAATTATGGGAATTGTGAGAAAATTATTGCATTATTTGAACCTAGCCCTGTGTGACTAGGAAGTTGGACCACTTCTACCTGTTGCTTAGGGACTCTTAACTAAGGACTTACATTGTGCTGACCAGAAACCCAGTCAGATTTGAAAATTGATGCAAGGAGTTTTCTCACAACTATCTATCTCAACCAGCCCATATATTTTATCTGAAAATTAGCCCTGTAGTGGTCAATTAGTTAACAGTTTCCACGTTCTGTTGGTTGAAAACAGAACCTTGGTAGAAGTGAGACATTTCTTTTTCTGATTTCAAGGAATTGCAACTGCTCCCTCTCTCTCCCAATTCTCAAAACTTATCCATCTCCTTTCCAACTTGGAAAGCCCCTAATCTTCCCTCCAATTATAAATCAGATTACCTAATCTTGTATCCTGGCTTATATCCTGCTTATTGTTATCTTTTAATGCATAAAAATCTATCTCCTTTATTCAGGTTCCAGTGCCAAACTGGGGAGGCCTGGGACCAATTTGTTTCACAATTGGTAAGCATTGCTTAATAAACTGATATTCTCAGAAGCTTGAACCTTCATTTCCTAAGTCATTTTATATTCTACCTGTCCTATCAA